ATTGAAGCTCAGCATGGAAAGAATATGATAAAAAGGGCACGAATAAGAATGGTTGTAGAAGGCAAAGAAGGAAGAGCACTGGTCTAGGGTTTAGGGTTGAAGGCTTGGTTGCGGAAGGGCTCCAAAGCTCAGAAGTCATCTAAGCGACCACAAATTGCACAGGGCGCGGGGGTAGCATTGTCCTTACAAGAAAGACCTAAAGTTGAGGAACCTGCAAGTTAGAGAAGCCACCAAATCGACACTTCAGACTTCAAACTGACGGCCCTTGATTTTCTGCGAATCCCGTTTGAAGCCTGGGTGCGACATTTTGCGAATCTTGCGAACCCATGCAGATGCGTCACCAACACAAGCAAAGTCACCAATCGCGTCACCCCTCATACCTGACCTCTAAACAAGAACCCTTCTGAGGAGCCTTCAAACCTAACCCGGGCATGGTGGCCTACTCAAAACATCTCAAAACAATAGCGTTGAACTACAAATAAACACAGCCTTTTCAGAACTGCAGGGGGCTGCAGTGCAGAGAGACGGCACCACGGAAAAAAAATGGCCGAGAATGTAGCAAGTGTCGACCCGAACCCTGGGTAACTACAAGCCGTAAACTACACGCCCTAAATCCTACCAACCTAAACTTTAAATCCTGAACAACTACAAACCCGCGATGTGTCACTCATGCGGGGTGCTGCGCTAAGGATATTATGCTCAGGGGCAAGGCTGAGAAAGCACACGAAAAGAGCGCAAGCTGTTGAGAACAAACACTGAACAAACAATATCAAGCAGCTTCTTCTTTTGGGATTCAACCGAAACTACAGGGGACTTTGTCGGAATTTTTGTGCCGTAGTACCGTCAGCAGGGAAGACGAAACCCTGCGCCCCAGGCTCCTGAGTCCCTGGTTATCAGTCATGCATCAGCCGCGCGGTTTAGGGTTTAGGGTTTAGGGGTTTAGGGTTTAGGGTTAGAGTAGTACGGCCCCTGGTCATCATGGTGCACAACTGCATTGGTCTTTTTACACCGCGGCTATGCGTTTCGGAAGCTTGTGCCGGTTGAACACAGCATCAACCCCAATGCAACCACATGCAATGAGTGCAACTGGCGTGCGTATAGTGAAAGCAATAATGACCAGAAGCTCAGAGCTAGTCATGACCAACGCACTGTAGCTTCCATAAATGGGGAGACACCAAGATAGACCTCAAAAAGCGACCCCCCTGATTTTGGCGGTCTCCACGCGCACCTCTGCTCAGAACCTTTCGCAATCCCGCACTCTATAGCGCCAGGATTCAGACTTACTGGGAGTGTCAGGGGGACTTAACAAGTAGGGTAATATTGGGGATAACTAGGGTTACTATATATGGGTTACAGGGATTATTAACCTACTTACCATAGCCCCCTAACTCTAAAGCCTAAGGCCTACACTGAACCCTCCAAATACCCTCATGAACCGCATCGCGAGACACGATCAAGCCTCAGCTCAAGGCTGGAAGAAATCAGGGTACAGGTGGGTTAGGTAGGGATTTGGGGGGCTTGGGGTTTAAGGTTTAGGGTCTGGGGATTCAAGGTTTCTGGGGTGTGGGGCATAGGGGCTTTGGGAGTCTTTATAGTGGGTTCGAGGGAGTTTCAGTTTGACTGGAGATGCTCCGGGATTTTGGATGTGTGGGACGTGGGGTTTAGGAGGGTTTGGGAATCTTCCGGGCTTTATGCGTTGCATCCGCTTAGGATTGGGCAGCAAGATGCGAATGGTCCAATTTCCGCGCCTACTTGATTTTCAGGTGCCTTCAAGGCTTCAATTTCGCAAGTAAGGTCAGAGGTTTGGGGTTTAGGGTTTAGGGCTTACTTACTTACTAACTCCCATGAACCTTGAAATATATGGTCTTGAGTAGCCATTTGTCGCTTGGAGAAGTTGCTTCACACCCTTGACTCTTGGCAAGAAAAGCTCCGGAATCTCCTTCCCAGCAAGCCCAAGAAAACCTTGATCTGCTTCACTCTAAACAGTAAAACCCTCAAAACCCGGCCCTAACCTAAAACCCTAAAGCCTAAAGCCTAAACCCTAAACCTGATGGGAAGCCGCCCAACTGAGTAGCGTTTTTTTGGTGGTTGACCCTAGTAGGATAATATTCCTTATAAAATAGGTTACGGGGTCAAAGTCTACCGCTGCGTGTTGCTACATTTCACAAGAGGAACTATGCAAAAGGGTTGTGTTTTGCTGGATTTCACCACTGGAACTACATAAATGACGGCGCTTTGCTACAGTTCGCAATAGGAGCTATGTAAGAGGAAACGACTTGGCAGCTATCA